AGAATAGCAACCCAGGTCTTTAGATCTAACACCATTAGACTTTTTTATGGGGTCACTTAAAATCTGTGGTCTACAAAACTCAGCCTTAAGAATTTATTTCAAGACAAACATTTCAAAATGTTCAAAGAGAATTTGAGAATATACTGTGCTAATGCTTACAACATAATGGCACTATTGTGGAACAATTTGTCTATTTATGCTTTTTTAGTTTATTGTAATGGTTTAATTTGATATTTAATAAAATGTTTAATTTAAATATTCCTACAATTCGTTCCTGACTGAATTCTCGCCGTTAAAACCACATTATCCAATTATCGTCTATTAAGTAAACAGCAAAGCAGGATGTTTCTCAACCCTTGACACGACCGAGGGGGCGAATTGTCCTTTTCGTAATTCAGTTACGCTTTGACTGGAGTCTCCGAGGAGAGGCGGATCAATTTCTGTTTTAACTTTATGGTATATTCGTTGAACTCTCTTAATGGAGCCTCACGGCTGCTACAACTTCGCCAACTGTAATAATACGCTTCGACTAGCATCGACTGGAGACCACTATTTTTCACCTTTCAAAGCAAATCTTCTATGAGCTTTACCCGTTGCTGTACTTATTAGCTACATTCCCAGATAGTCAATGTTTATTGTATGTTTAGACAAAAAAGATATATGAAAAATATATGTAGCAATATTTTTATTTCTCTTCCATTTTTTTTAATTATCGTCCTTCATAATCTGATGAACTGTGAACGGGATATTTGCGTGCAACTTCCCTTATGCTCTCATGCACTCTCATACATTTTGTATAGTAATTGGACACATGGACCATAGTTATTGGACATACAATTTTTATATAAAAAAAACAACATTTTCATCAAATAACATAAATTGTTAAATATTTTTTAAAGATAAATTGCTGTTTTAGGTAATTTTTTTTATTTCGTTTTTGTAAATATCATCTAATTTATATATTTCTTTCTCGGATTCCTCATCCCTTTTCTGGATTCTGAAGTTTCCTTTGACTGACTTCTGAAATAGTTTGTTGCAAATATCATTAAGTGTGGCATCTTTAGTTTGTGAAGCATTTATAATGTTTAGGCCGAAACAGGATGATTTAATGATCTAATATTTTTTCGGGTGGTATGTTAAAAGTATTTTCCAAATTTATTAATTTTGTTGCCATTACTTTTTTATGTTCTCTATCATGCACTGTATTTAAATCACTGTTATTCTGCAAGATGTCCTGTGACAAAGAAATCACTATATTACTTACTCTCTAAAAATGAATTAGTCAAAAATTTCATAGCGAAAAAGCAACCACTAATAAGTACATTTAGCAGTCAATTCCTATGAAATATTATTCGCTGAATCCGAAAATGTCGTCAAAAGTTACAAAAGTAGAACAGTTTTTGAAATTTAATTAATTTTAAATATAATATGGAATCGACTATATCTCAAAAACTGCTTAACTTTTATAGTTTTTGACGGCCTCAGGGGACAATTTTACATAAGAATTGGCTGGTAAATGTCCGGGATATAAATAGAGTATGATATTGGACATATGTCCAATAATAGAAATTTACCTTTTTTACCAACCAGTAATTGGACACTGGCCATTTTACTGTTTGTTTTCAAAATTAAAATTAAAATGCATTAAAGTGACAATGTTTAAATCATGAGGAACACATTTATACCAAACACTGATCTGTACACTTTTTAGAAATATTTTTTTTTGTAATTTAAACACAGCCCTGCTTTACAGTATTAATGTTAATTGTCCAATAAAGTGTCCAATAACTGTCTACTTTACCCTAAGTGTTTCGCATAACTTTCGGCAAGTTCTATTTTTCTGGGACACCCTGTATAGTTTAAAATAAGGAAATTATGTTAAAGTCAGGATAGTAGTTTTGGCTGTTATTTTACTGAAAGTAACAGAAACCTAACCTCAACTATACGATTTTTTGTTATTCATGTAAGTAAATCAAGTAGCGCCTAATGAAATGTTGTCGGATTTACGTTTTATTTTAAAATCGGTAATTTTGATTTAATTAAAAATCCATAATTCAGATAAATTTAATTTTTTGTTCCAAATGACGTATTAATAGCCCACCAAAGTGTTTTCCACACTGTGTAATAATAAAAAATACTTAACTCTCAAAATCGCGTGTTATGGAGTTAGTCCACCATTTTCGGGTCTGTATAAATAAATTTTAAATTAATATTCTATGCAGATGCACCAAGGATCTAATTTGAATCCAATTACGTCATTGTATGAAAAATGTAAATGACTTTTATGAAATATTTTTTATTTTTCGATGTAAAGAAATATCATAACCTTAGTTTTGAGAATATTCATGAATTTTGTATTTGTATTAGTTTATAAACTTAATTTATATATTTTGCGTTCATAATGACTTCATTATAACACAGCTTTCGGTGGTGTAATGAGATACTTTATCCCACCCAAAATTTTGATTTTGTAGGTTGGCTATACTTTAAACAGCATAATATTTTGCATATTGGTTAAAATATTTGCAGTTATGTAAAAAAATAACATTTATTAATTTTCTTTTACACATTCTGTTGTGTTAAAAATTAACATAAGTAATAAAAATAAAAAAAAAATAATAATTTAAGTGGACTTTCTGGGATACAAGAAATATGTTAAATATACATATAAATTTTTTACTGTGTGTCTATAATATGTCTATGGCATATCAGTGATACGCCTCGATACAAAAGCTGCCTAGATTGACAGGCTATCAAACTGTATAAAATATGGATAAGGAGCGGATTTTTACCTCTTGTAAAATTGTATTGTCCCAACAACCAGGTCTTCTAAACAATTAAGGAATTGAAATAATATAATATTTTTTTTATAAATTTTTAAAATACTGTTAATTTTTATTAACGATTTAAAAATAACAAAATAGAAAACCCTCTTCAAGATGAAAAGGTAAAATGTTCGTTTGGTCTATATTGATATCGTAGTTTTAAACCATAATCCTAAATAAACATTTTTTACTAATTGTGAGAACATATACAACGTTAATATATATTTTTTAATCCCTGGTTTGATAAATAAAAAAATTATGTTTTCTCTTCCTTATTAAATTAATATTGACACAACACCTAGTTAATTCTTTATTACTTCTAAACAGTCAACTACCGTATTTACATACCTACACTTAATCGAGCGTTCTAATTAAGCGTTTCACCTTTGGGACGGATATATGGAAGGCACTTTTAAATATTTACCCGAACATTTATGTTGCAACATGCATTTCCTGTTGTAAAATACGTTACGATGATAAGAATAACGAATGTAGGTACAGCCACCTGTATGCTTTCATATTTACTCTTTAAATCACAAAGGACTCGTTGATATTCAAGTACTTTTCTTAAAATGACGGCAAAAGGCTGTTACACTGGAGTTTACACAGTGTAATTGTATGCCTTGCAGGCATACACCGTATAATAAAGTTAGTTTAAGGGATTTCGTCTTGACATTGTTTTTTCAAGAAAGGCATGTGTTTACCAATCTTACGAATGTGTGAATTACACAAGTATTCATATGATACATATACCTATACCATGATCAAATGTACATATGTACAAATGTTGCACCCTATACAGAACTCGCGCCATAGGGAATTCTTTAAATTGCTAGGACACTTAGGATGCAATGTTCATATGGGTGATTCTACAAAAGTTGGACAACTTGATGTCATCAGTAGGCATTTTAATATATTTTGTAAATATTTTAGTATATTACAAAAGATCCAGGTTTTTTTAACTTGTCCACCCAATTTTAATGTATTTTTCAAAAGCACGTTTGTAGAAAAACATAATATATATTCAAAACATCAGTACCTTGGCGTGTCACAACTAAATAAAATATTTAAGTGATTTTATTTTAAAATATATTCAATTTATCTTAAATTTTTCAGTTTCACTACAAAATATAAAACATTAAATAATGTATTTTTCATATTTTATCACAGATTCGAATATTAGCAATTTTTAAATAATTGATAATCTTTGTACTCACTTTTACCCGTCAGTTCTGTGTCCAATGTTAAAGTGTTGGTAAAAAATTACCTACAGAGCCCGCCCTTTGCACGACAGTCATCTTGAAAACAATGCAAGCGGCGAAGTTGTGGTGAATGCACGTATAGATCCAGTAAAAATTTCAGTACTGTGGTGAGTAGTTATTTTCTTACGTATATATATTTCATTGTAATTTATATAAGGCTACATGTGATTTGTTGATAAGTAGCATCCACTAATAAAAAATATCAGTAAAATACTTAATTCCGAATTATAATCTCAAATTTGTGTCCCATTCATCAGTACCGTGTCGTCAGTTCCATGTTCGATGTTTCGGTTATCTTTTTTTCGCAAACTTCAATTTAAATTCTGCTTGCGTAGAACTTGTTTATTTAATGTCATTATAAACTCATATAAATTTGATGTGGGTCCTATATCTAATAATTGAGATATCGGTATACCCAAAATCAACCAGCCGCCACTGATGTGTGGTATTATTTGATTTTAAGATATTTAATGTATAATATGCTCAAAGTTGCAATAAATCATATATTTTCCAATAAATTATGTATTTAATTAGTACCCTGGTATACTCGTCACTTCCCTAGCATTCAAATTTAGAAAACACAGATATTTCAGAAACTGTTTGAAAAAGTGACTGGCCCGGTCAGGAACAGTATATTTAATATATTATCTAGGTTTCATAACAAAATAATGTTTAATTTTCGCCGAAAACATACAAATAAAATGAGGTCAAAAGTTGCACAACTTTTGTAGAATCACCCATATATTATATAACTGTTGACAGTTTGGTTCACACTTTCCAATATTTCAAATGATCTGCTTACGCGTCCAGCCTATTTCAGTGTATGCATTTTAAGTTTTATCTTGAAACATATGTTATAATATAATATATATTTAAAAAGTATGTTGGCCATCTAAAAAAAATGAGTACTTACCAACTGCAGTAGAAAGAAAAGATTCCTCATGGCATATGGTCAATTTGTCATTAATGCTGAAAAATTAAAATACAATAATTAAAACGAGTTGCAAAATAATTAAATTTAATTTATTTTAAATTAAATTTAGCGGATTTGCAAATATATCAACTTTAAAACAAACACTTCCATTTGTTTGGTAAATAAATGCACTAAAATATCATTAGCAACTTTAAAATTGTAAATTTTATTAATAGGAGATTTAAATGCATCCAACAAATTTTACAATGCGGCTTTTATTTTTCGCTTTAAATATTAAAATATCTCTCGGCTTCGTACGTGATAATCCAAAATAAACTGATTTAATTATTTACAGGTATATCAAAAATTCACGAGAACGTAAAAAGAAACTCTGCGCCTTTTTACAGCTTGCTTAAAATTTTAAGATTTCTTAGGACATTTATTTAACTTAAAAATGTATGAAATATACAATATATTTGGAAAAAGTCTTACTAAATATGGGTTAATCTAACGATTCATAATTAAGTAGATATTATTCCAGATTTTTAACCGCAAATAATTATTTTGTACAATGTTTTAAAAGTCTAAAACCTATCCTCCGTTACACATCCAAAGCAATCGAATCAAATATAAAATATTATTAAAAATTAAAAGAAATAACTTTTATAACCATTTATGTAGGTGTTACAAAAATTGATTCTATCCTCCGTGAATCTGTTTTTGCTTTAAATTTTATGCAACGGATGGCGCTTTAATCATTTTAAATAAGCAAAAACCTCTGTTTACGACATTATAGATGCATGTGATTCCTGAAGGTCAGTTAGAATTTATATGCAGATGAGAGTGTTGCTGTTTTATAATTCAAAAGTTTAAGTTCATTAATTTTCTATTTAAAAACCTATCCACCGTGAAGTGTAATATCTCAGTAAGTAGATTTTTTTTATAAATATTTTATGTATGTACAATTGTATTTTTAAAAAATATTAAGGTGTCAAAAGATACAATAACTTATTTCAAATATACAAAGGGACGTTAAAAAAAAAAGAAATCCTAACCTCCGTGAAGCTATCTTCCGTGAAGCTCTAATATTCAAAATGTATGATTTCTTAAACGTCTTGCATTAGTGCAGAACCACTTACGTTATGTTATTAACAGTGAAACAACCAAAAATAAAAAATAATCATTTTCACTTGGGGGACATCTCAATATATTCACCCATATATATTTTAAAATTAAAACATTATTATCTTTATTTTAAATTTAAATCGCACTCTGATGTTTACTTTAAGGTATTTTAATTGCTTAATTAATCTGACGAAAGGTGTTTTTTACGAGTTTCCTGTAATTTCTGCGAGTTTAAAGCGCAGTATAAAATCAGAAGCTCGTACATCCGGTAAATTTTATAATCATTGGATTTGGGAGGCACAATAAATTAAAACTTAGTACTTTTAAAACATCTTGCATTAAAAAACGTTACCTTTATTTAATTTAAAAATAATTTAAAACTTTTAGGTTTTTCTCAAGTATATTTAATAACGACTATTTCCCTCGTCTTAATTTCCACCAATCACAAACGCGCAATTTTAAATTACAAATGGTTTCTAGGTGAAAAAACTGTGTGACAGCACCTGTCAGCAGTTTATTCGAGTTTACCCGCGGCAAAACTTGACAGCTGTTGTCACCAAAAATTGCAATTTATATTTTAATTGTTAACTGTTACTCATGAAATAGTCTTGTCAAATACCATTCGGGAATCTAATTTTTCCTGTGAAAAAAATCGAAAAAACACAATGCTAAGTAATATTTTTTAACAAAATGCATTCGTGCAGGTGCAAAAATCCTCCTCTTCGACTCGGATTTTTGTTGCCACCAGCACTCATGCTTTTTGTTAAAATATTACTTAGCAACGTGTTTTTTCGATTCTTTTCGGAAAAATTAAATGCCCTTATGATATTACTTACGAGAAACCGAAAAAATATACAAAGGAAACACAAGGAGGATATTTTGTTCAAAATAAAAGGATCGTTTAAAAAATGTATAACAATATTTTTTTCAGTGTCTTATTTTTTTACTTAAAACACATTTTAAATAAATAATGTAATATTCTTATAAAAGTTTAATTTATACCATCTATTTCTAATATATTAACATAAAAATCCAACCCATCCTGCGAAAAAATATTTACTTTATCTGGTTTATGTTGACCTGGCCTCCATTAGGGTTTCAAAGCAAAGTAATCGGATAAAGTTGTCCTGGTTGTGTCTTAAATTTAAGTAATCTCCTTAACGGAAAAAGGCTATTTTCACCTCAAATTTTCTTTTAAATAAATAGAGCAGAATTTATTTCTAACCTATTTCAAAAGTTAAAACGTTGAGTGAAGATTAAATCGTTGATTAAATCAACGGTTTACCAAATGATTTTTGCTTTTACACTGAGATTTTTAACCAAAAAATATTTTTATATTTATGTACCTATGTTCTTTTAAAATTTTCGAAAATCGGGTAATTGTTTCCATTTTTTAAATCTGCAGCTTTATTATTAAATTTTGTTATAGTTTTTATTATTTTTATCATATATAAGTCGTTTTCACAAAACACCCGCCTTCCGCTGTCCGTAAGTTTAAATTCCAATAACTTTGTTAAAAATTATCGGATCTTATTGATTTAAAACCCAAGTGAAAGCCTAACAAGCCTTAGTACAAAATTTTTGTTTAGTTATTTCAAAATTTTTTTTTAATTTTGAAACTTGTGAAACACACATTTTCGCATGTCCCATTAGCGTTTTATAAAACTTACATACATGTTTTTTTTTAATATTGAATAATCAGAACTTTGTGTTGCTTTATAGCAATCCATAACATCCTTAGTTAATACAGTAAACAATTTATATATAAATTAATTAATTTTAATATACTTTTTTTAAATTTGACTCATGTCCCACATTTTTTCCGTTGCGTTACGTCCGTCGCGTTATAATTAGATTTTTTTCATTACTAATAAGTATAGTAAATTTTAAAATATTATGTTGCCATTTTAAATACAAATATTTTAAAATCGAATATTTTTATATGTTAACAATTAAAAATTGTAACATATTTATTGTACTTTTTAATAGTTGCGTTCCATCAACTTCAAATACCGACAGACAGGTGTTTTGACCTATATTAGGTATCATCAGTGTCGACACGACACTGTCGAGCAACTTGTAGTAGTGGAACACACCCAAAACAAAGAAATACCTGAGCTTATATAACATGGTTGCTAAGCCAACAGAGGCGAGATGTAAGAACATCACGTGTTCCACACCGTCTAACGACGCGTCGCGACGTGGCCTTTGCCGCAATCGGTACATACTATGCAACCAAGTAGGTTCAATTCTTTCTTATAAGTATTACCAGTAATGGGTCAAGAAAGTTTATTGAAGAAACTAAGAAAATTGAATGTTTAAAATGTCATTCATGACTCATGAGTTACTATATTGTATATTATATTTAAATATATTGTTTATTTACCTTAAACATAAAAGTATCTTTATTTTTACTATATTTTTTTATTAATGTGTAATATATTATAATATTAGATGTACATTTGATTAAATCATATGGTAAATATTATTATTTGTAGATAGTAAAATCAATTTACTATACGAACATATTAAAAATTAAAATATATATTATACAGTTATGATTAAATAATATTGGTGTTGTAATCTTTACTAAAATTTTATAATAAAAAATAGTATTATTACAATCTTAATATTGTATTGACGAATATATAATATTGTTACCCTAAAAATTTGTTAAAGTAAATTTTACTATATTTTACTAAAATATGTATTTATTGTATCTAACAGATGGTGAAACACAGATTTACTTTTTAGTTATTAAATAATTTAGGACTTCTTCTTAAAAAACGGTATTTTTGACTAAATGATTTCTATTTTTACAATTTAAGTTTTGTTAACGTCTAGTATGATATTTATTCCTAACCTATGTTAAGAATAAAATATGTAACCATTTATATAAAGTTTATTAAATGTAAATAAAGCCTTATAATATTGTAAATACACTCTCTAAAAATAAATTAGTCAAAAATGACTAATTACTACAGTTATTAGTCGCTGCTTTAGCCAATTCTTATGTTAAATTGTCCGCATAATCCGAAAAAGTCGTCAAAAGTTATAAAAGTAAAACAGTTTTTGAGATATAGTCAATTCCATATTATATGTAAAATTGATTATATTTCAAAAACTGTTCTACTTTTATAATTTTTGACAGTATTTTCGGATTCAGATAGAGACAATTTTACATAAGAATTGGCTATTATATCGGGAATTAAAATATAAAACAAATATTTGTGTTTATTATTTACAAAATAAATATTCTTACTCTTTAAAGTTCTCTGGTAATCAGCCAAACTGCTGCAGTTTTCTTTTACTTAAATTTCGCCCGTACCGATTCACTGACTCGTTTCTGTAGCAAGAAAGCAAGTTGCGGTTAAAGGACGGCGGATTCCGGGCCCGGAGACGCCGTGGCTCTTCAACTGTACGCGACGACCGAAACTCGAATGACGACGACGACGACGACGTCTACGGCAGCAGTCAGTGGTCCGCCTGCTTGCGGCACAGCTACGAGCCGTATTCGTCCGTATCGACCACCGCCGCACCACCGACCCCGCGCCCGTTTATTGTTGTTGCATTTCGCTTATAAGGGGGCGCACTTCGGATTTTCGCGGATTTATGGCCGCGATTATAAATCACAAGAGCGAAAAAGCAATTGCGAGAAAAAACCGTTTTGCCTTCATGGACCGCGTTACTGCGTATCTACTCAATAAAATTAACAAACGCTGCTTGCACCAATATTAAACTTTCTTCTTATACTATTCTGCTTGTAAGATTTTGAGATCTGGAGATCTTGCTGGCCATTTTGCGGAGGTGCCCCGTCCTGTAGAATCACTTGGTAGATCGGGACATCCATTCTAATTGGGAAAAATTTCTGCTAATGTAGGAAGAAGAGAGTTTTGCAAAAATTCCAAATACGTTTGTCCTGTCATATTCTCGTCAAAGAAGTAAGGACCTAAGATCCGATTTTCCACCATTCCTGCACAGACATTCACTTTTGCCGGTATTGGGAATTTTCCTCTTCTACCCAATGAGGAATTTCTCTGCTCCAGTACCTACAATTTTGACGGTTGACTGTACCATTCAAACAGAAGGTAGCTTCGTCCGCAAAAAGTATTTTACGAGGAAGTATGGAATATTGTTACATAAATTCATTAGTTTCACAAAATTTTAGTCTACAGTCTGGATCATCTTCGTTATGTTCCTGCACTAGTCTAATGTTGGTACTTTTCTTTATTCATAAGACGTAATACTGATCGTTGGCTGACTTGACTTTCAGCTGCGACTAGGCTGGAAGCACTGTGAGGATCTTCTTCCACACGTAACAAAATGTCAATTTTAGTGTCTTCACTAATATTCAGACGGCCAAGTTTTGGAATATCTTTGACATGTCCAGTCTCTCTGAATTTCAATTTTACTAACCGTAGTACGAGGAATAGGTCGAGCTGGATACTTTGAATTCAATAAATTGCAAACTTCGTGTTGTGTTTCAGTTTTATTGCCACATCCCATGAAAATTAAAACTTCTATGCCTAAATTGCTCATACTTAAATACTTATATATTTGGAGAATGCTTAAGAGACAGATACTTCAATAAACGCTCGACTAAAAATTGTTACATCTAGTAGAAAATATTTGGTTTAAATTTTATGCTAAAAACAAATATAAAATAAAAAACTTCCATATATCGACACTTGCTATTTGTAGAATAAAAAAAACCATGATAAACTGAAAAAGTTTTACCTTGAATTGAAATATTTTGAGAAAGTTTATGAACATTTCGTCTATAAACACTTTTTAATTTTATGAAAACCCCATTAAAAATTATTTTAATTTTAAAAACTATAAAAAAACAAAACAATATTAAAAACTATAAATTTTTCACTTTTAATATTTAATATTTCTGAAACTATAAGCTCAAAAGGTATATATGTGCATATATGCATATATATAATATATTGATAAAATCACAATTTCATAATCTATTTGAATCTCCAAAAACAAAACGGGGGTCCAATTTAAAATAATGGCCGATTACGTCAGAGATTTTACAAAAACGGCCGAAAATATAAAAATTGTATATCAAAATGTACGTAATTTTTTTGAGAAAAAAGCCGGTCATTGTATAGTACTGTAACGTTTTTACTGTTCGTAGTGTGAATTAAAACACGCACTGGTTTATTAACGAACTAAACGATCTTTTTTATAACTTGATTACGCTTAAAACACTAAGAAACCATAAAAGTAACTAAACACTTAACTAATAATTATTTATATATCACTACTGTACAAGAGTCTATTTATTTGCACGTATATTTAATTTATTTCGTCGCGAGTACCAAAGCTTGACTGACTGCTCCATGCTGCACTTATATATTTATTGCCTACGTGACACAAGTCACGAAAGCGCCATCCCGAACATTTATTATATTTCTGCATTAATTTAACAAAACATAAAGATTTTTATAAATTACAATAATTTTATTACAAACTATTTTCAAATAAAATAATAATTTTACTGTAATATTACAAAAAAATATAGGAAAATAGTATTTTATGTATTAAGTTTCGTAATCGCCATTTTAGTCACGAATTTAAATTAGGCAAAAGCGAGTGTTTAATTAAATGAGTTGATAAACGAGTTGCATACTACAGTTTTTTTACAAAAAATACTTATTATTATTTAAAAATGATTTAAATTAAAGTGTTTTATAATAATTAATAAAACAAAATTTTCTATTAATTATAAGATTTCAATTCACATTTAATATTACTTGTGAATACTTTTTTTCGGTTTGTTGATCCGAAAAGTACTTTTCAAAAACTCACAGGGTTGTCTTTTACATCGAATATTTTGTCCACATTAAGGGTGCAAATATTTTCTTCATACTGAGGAAATATGCCAGCAGCACGTCCTCCGTTATTGCTTCCTTAATCCTCTCAATTTTTTAAATTAGCCAAATTCTTTCTCCTATGTAAAGAAATTCTAAATCTGAGGATTGTACATGTGGACAATATTTTCAAACATTTAATATATGTTATGTATTTTTCGATTTTTACGTTTTCACGCATGCATTGGTCTCTACAATAACTTGAAATGTCACAGAATTACATCCAGCACATAAATCAAATAAAATAAAAAAGAAGAATAAAACCTTATTGTGTAAGGACGATGTTACTACGTCGAGTGTAAGAGAGATACAAATTATATCCTTAGTATGATGGAGTAAATTCAGCTAAAGCAAGAAGATTGATTGTACGAAGTTTTCAAATTATTTTTACAAAGTCGTACTAAGACGTAAAATGATTTATCTTACGTGTCCCTAAATAAGTACATTTTTAACTTAATTAATTATTTACCTGTAAATGTAATCAGGTATTAAATTTAAATTGTATCTGTCTGGGATTAATTAACAATTACAGCCTGCGTGTATTTGCATGTTTCTAGGATGTCAATCCAACATATATCAAAATTATTGATATAATATTATATAATATATATTAATACCAAAATTATTTGGAAAATATGTTTTTTTACTTTCATTTCAAACGCACAAAACGCAGAAAATATCGGGAATTTTCGTTTTTTGAAACAAATATTTATTTATTCGTCTACATTAATGTTGTCGCCTTCAAAATAGTCCCATTGGATATTATGCACATGTGCCAGCCCTTCTTCCAATACTCGAAACACTTCTAAAACTCGATCTTTGGGATAGCCTTTAGTTCTTTCAGCGATGCGCTTTTAATGTCATCTATGCTTGCAAAACGACGACCCTTTAAGGTTCTCTTTATTTTTGGAATTAGGAAAAAGTCAGACAGAGGCATGTCTGGCGAATATGGAGGCTGGGGCATCATTACAGTATTGTTTTTGGCCAAAAATTTTGTTTAAAATTTAATAATTTTAGAACAAATTTTTCTGCCATGCGTTTCATACACAAAAGATTCGAAAAAATTTCATGGGGTAAGCCAATCGATACACCAACATCATCAGCAACTTCTCTGATGGTTTATAACCATTTCTTCCACTTTTTCCATGTTTTTATCGGTTGTTAATGTGCTTGTGCGTTTGGGGCGTTCGTCATCTTCAACGTCTTCACGGCCATCTTGGAAACTCTTATACCACTTGTAAACTCTTGTTTTACTTATAGCAGACTCACTATAGGCCTTTGTTAACATTTCACAGAATTTATTTCATTTTTTAAGGAAAATTGGATACAAATTCTTTGATCCATTTCTTTTAACGAACGAAAAATCGCCGAGCTCATAAAACACGTCTAACCTTAGCGGCTGCCACAGACAAAGTAAACGATGAAAACAGCTAAAGTTTTTATTATACTTCGGGGGCATGTCTACCAACATAATAAAGAAAATTTTATGACAACCGGACCCTCCGAACCCGCGAAATTTAACAATTCTTGTTAATTTCTGAACACACCTCGTATATACTATTAAAAACATGACCCTATTTAAATATTATCTAATTTTTTAAAAGTGTTTATTATAATTGGGGATAGCCGATTAAAATTATTTTTTTGAAATATCGTATAGAACGATATATCAAAAATCATGTATCGATATAAATATCGGAAGAAATATATCGATATAAATGTAAAATTGACTATTTTTGTAAAATATTTTTATTTGATTTAAGGCTTCGGTTTCGATATATTAGTAATTACAAAAATGTTGATAATTTTTTGTTTCAAATAAAAAATAAAATACATTTTTTATTTACCAAAATATAAAACATAATTATTATTAAATATTACATTTTAACGAAAAAGATTCAATTGCATTACAATTTTTAATCAATGCTTAATAAACCTTGGTTTTTATTAAGGTTCTTAAAGTCAAGCTACCTTCAAAAATGCTTGTACATATTTCTAAATTGATAGATTTTTAATAATATTTATTTAAATTAAATTTTAATTAATATATGAAGGTATTTTTAAATTTAGGAATTTTTTTTATATTTAATATTGATATTTTCAATATTTAATTAGGGAAAATGGCTATAAGACATGTTTGGATTTTTTTTAAAACTACACATTTTTATGAGCTCGTAAATTGTTGTTTTTTTTACATTTCTTCGTAAGATAATGTCTAACAAGATAAAACGCTATTTGCGAATCATACTAAGTTGACATATCTTAAGAAGCGCACGAAAGTTTAGGAAATTTATGGGGTGATTCTAAGGGTGAAATAAATCAAGGCAAAGCAAGAAAAGAACATAAAACAATTATGTATTGTGTAAGAAAATGTTTTGGGGTCGAGACAAATTTGAATTTAATGTTTTTTATGAAAAAGAAGTTTGTAGTTGGAGTCCAATTTCTTCGTTACCATCACTATCTTTTGTTTTTATAATGGCCGCAATAAATGATTTAGTTGGATGTTTTTCTATGTAAAATTCCAATATGGCGGCCTTAGGAAAAACCAAAGATGGTGGTGCTCAAACTCGAAGTCTAGTAGGCGAAAAATATCATAAATTG